TATTTCAATAAGCGCGCTGAGTCCAGCACGTGTTTGGGTCAAAAGGCAGGCAATTGTAAGCGTGATCATTTTATTATAAATTTGATTAAAATTCTATTACTTATGAATGTTGATAATGTCAAAGATTTTATGTGAATAGAAGTGACATAAAGGCATAAAAGAAAGCGATTTATTATTTAGATTATTTTCTTGTAGAATTAAATAAAAAGTAAATTATATTGTATGGGCTACACAGGCTATACCTACAGTATTTAATATCACGAAATAAACTATTTACTTGCATAATATGCCAAGAACATATATCATTGAAATTCAAAATACACTCTTTGTACTTGGTTGCAGTTTTTGATTAATCAATTACAGAGAATAGATGTCTTTCAAATTCAAATTGAATAATAGCTTATGTTTAAGCATATGTTCAAAGTTTCATGTATAATCAGCTGAAGTTACAAGGCCCTTCTAGTAACTTTAGAACGTTCGTGTTATAAAACTTGTAAGGGGCTCCTTCGTCAGCAGGTGGTCCGTCCCGGTCAATACGCTTTGATATACCGAAACCAACTCTGATCTAATGAAATCAATCATAATATACCAGACGCGCTCAGGAGCGTGTTGCCCAAAACACGCATTGAAAAGAGCACACCTAACTGTATATTTTAAAACACGAATTTCACAAAATATATTTAAATATCAGCATTTACAACAAACGTATGAGCATTTACTCGGAGCGACTGTCATGCAATTTTCACATACAACTCTGCCATGGGCGCGCACCGCGCACGAGCAATTATTTTAAACACATTTCAACAAATGACGATAATGCCAGCAGACCGAGCAGATAAGAGAAAAAAAAAATAAAGGTTCAGTAAGCAATTGTTCGACCTCTTGCACAAGAATGTTTTCAAAATGTACCGGTAGGCAATTCGTAAGTATGTATATTATACCTGACTTCAAAAGTTATTGTTTTGTATTGGAAATCGATTAATATTAAAGCTTAAATTATAATATGTATTATTTCAATAGCTTTTCTTTGGATCTACTAATTTAGAAAAACAACTACGGCAGAAATTAAATATTTTGACGGAAACATTGTCGCTCCCCGTTAATTTAATGACTTTGAGCCAATTTAACATCTCAGTTCAGCACGGTGTCTCCCATCGAGAATGTTATCGTCTCCTAATCCGGTCCTCGGTGATATCGTAAACCAGAAGTGGTCTTAAGCGAAACCCGTTTCACAGACGATCGCACGCACCCTACTGCTCTGCACTACTCGCTAGAGAGAAGGCGAAACCGCACATTACAAAAATGCGCTAATAACCACCTTCATTAGGCGATTTTAAGTCTTACAACTTTCGCCTGAAGAATTAATGTTGCGTGTTTAATGTTTTGTACTTGAGCCTTTTTTTATTGGTATTAACGCTATTTAACGTCACGCATGTACACGAGAGGTGTCTTTGTTGCAATTATCGCAATTGGCTCGCTAGTCGCAGCTTGCCGCCCCATCTTACACTCTCCTATCTTTGTACGATATTATACATGTGTTTAAATAATTTTAAGACCAAACCTTCATTGAGACTTATCACGAATATCACTAAAATAAATGACGCAAACCACGATGCTATCAATATCATAACACTTCAGTAATTGGCACGACAAAACTACCAATTTATCCTGGCGTGTTTGGTAATTTGTATATTCTAATTGGCGATTACAGGCGTAAATTTTCAAGTATGCAATATATGGTTGACGATTATAAGCTGACTAAAAAGGAAGAAAGAAGACCTAAGTTTCTCTTTATATTTTACGAGTATTCGACGTTTCTTGGATATGATAGTCTATCACTTAAAGCATTATCTTCACATTATTTTAGGTCTTTCGAGTTAATTATTCAGTAAAGTTTCCAAAAAAAGATAAAGTGTTTTCCATCTAATCGTTAGATGAAGCAAAGGATCATATTTATTTTGCTTGATACACAACAAAAAAAATACTCATTACGTATCAGTAACGGTTGTTGCGTTAAAGAGTTATCCCACGGTAAGCAGCCGGCTCTCGTTACATTATAGGCAATCATGGATGCTTATTAATTTCCCCACCTCATTGACATAGAGGCGTGATCGTCCGTACTTATGTTACAATGCTTATATAAGATCACGGTTGACGTGGTTACTTTTTTCTGTAGCACATAGCATTGTTTACGCAGACCAGTTTTATTTCTGTCGACATACATAAGCCTAAATCCAATACATCTTCTCATGTTACCCGTATCCGGTAAGCTGGCATCCATTAACGAACTATTAGACCATAATTCGGGGTTGCACTTTGATGGCTTTACCTATTGACCCGCCGAAGTATTTGACACTTGACTAAAGTTCATTACTCAATAAGTCAAATCCTTTAATTGGATAAATATTTACTTCGTCAGCGAAGCCGGTGTATCCCTAATCTTGCGGCACTAGTATGGTGTTATGGTAAATGACAGCTTTGTATACGAGATAAATACCTGTTATGTTTCATCTCTAGGTAGATACTTTCATTACAGCCTAAAGATCTTTACTTACTAAATAGCTTCTTTATTTATTGAAATATAATCTTACCACAACACTGAAAAACTCAATCACTAGATAACAGATATAAGTATACAGTTCTTAAATGCATTTTTATTCATAGTCTGTATACGTCAAAACAATTTTATTTTAAAAATATCAATTTGGAGTTTAATATTTTATTTCTGATTAGCATTTTCTTTTCATTACATTTGAATCTTTTGACAGCATGGATATATATGTGAAATAGATACAGGTAATTAAAAAAAAGGATGCCGTCTTAATAGTGATGTGACACAAACAGTATGCAACATCAACGAACATACCATACATTAATTAAAAGTAATTAAGAGGTCTGACTTTAATGCATTAATTTAGAAAATGAACCTCGAAAACGTCCAATAACTACGGCTGACCACGATGCTAATAGTGAAAGCTAAAGATACTCTATATGAGTCAATAGCAATTCGAAAGCTTATTAGTATCAAGGTAATAATTTTATAAATTATCAAAATATAAAAAATGTCAAATTAACTCAATAAACGCCCTTACAAACATTAAACCTATTGTTTTTCTGCTTTACAAACAAAAAACATGAGATTTTGAGTGTCATTATTATTTGCAATAAAATGTATTGCTTTCGAGACTCGTTATTGTTGAACCCTTGCATTTATTGTTGAACCCTGGTTCAGCACCCAGCTTCTTATCAAATGCATATGAAATTCGTAAACAACGAAAATACGTAGGTACACAACTACCAAACTCTCTAGAACTGAAAATTTCTGAGGAAGAAAATATATAACCGAGGCAGTACAGAACGGCTTAAGAGTTTGTTATCTTCCATCCAGCGGACTTCTTTAAGAATAGTTATATATTAAAATGCCGCTGCTATTTTTTAAGATTAAAGTTACAATGATACATAAAATTAAAAAGAATACAGTGAAACCTGGTTAACTGAGATCTCAAGGGACCAAGAATTTTGTACCATTTAAAGACGTTTTCATTTATCTAGTATTCCAATTAGACAGATTTGAAATTTTGTTGTTTCATTTATAAAGGCCTCCGCTTATAGAGATCGAATTGTACTGTATAAAAAAGCGTATTTTTGGTGTTATGAATTAAATGTACGTATGTATTTATTATAAAAAAAAATATAGTATAGTTTATGACTTAAAGTAACCAGTTATGTATCTTTGTTTGATAGCTGGTTATTCAACCAGTTTTTCTAGATAGAATAAAAATTAAAAAAGCTTTAATTTTCAGATTTTGTAGATCAAAATTTAAGACAGGACAGTATTGACAAACAAAGCATGTGCGAAAGAATTTCAAATGTTTGTAAACAATCGTGTCGAAATCTGTCTCAACTTGATAAATTGTCTCACTTATACAGGCAATTAAGCTACAAAGTTCCAATTATAGATGTAAACATCGAAAAAATTCTATAAATCAAATCTCATTTAACCAGGTTCCAAAAGTCCCATTTAAAGAGGTGATTCATGAAAACGTGCCAGGACCTCATTGCAGTTCTCAATAACAGAGGTTGCTAACTTATCAAGGTCCCACTTAACCAGGTTTCACTGTAAAACAAACTTTAATCTTTTTAAAACGATTGTGCAGTATGACTGGACACAAAAGTAATAAGGGTGTAAATATTACACTTTGGATATGTGAAAACATGTAATATGTTTAGTCTCTTTCCAGTTAAAAAACTAGGGCCTTATGTGTATTTACTGCTATCAGTTTGTTGGCGATATTTTCTGTCTATTTATACAAATGCTTACATAAAGTTTGCAGAACGATATTAATTTACTACTGATTGTAATTCATTTTTAAAAGTCGGGATATTTTTTTTTTTACGATAAAAAGTCTTTGAAATACTAATTGTATTAAAATATCGATATAGATAATTGCCGTAAGTGTTACGATGAAACGTATAAGGTGTATCCAAAGATTTAAAAATATCTTAATGTATTTGGGTACGTTTGTTTTAACGAGAGCAATAAGATAATAACCTGCACCCAATATTATTTCGGACCTCAATAAATTTGCAAATAACTTTCATTGATTTTTTAATTTTCTTGACTTAATCTTCAGAAATCTTCAATTTCTGGAAGTGTTATGATGAAGATTATACCAATATTCGTCGAAACTTTTAGCTTTTTAATGTTATATTTTTAATTTAAATAATAATAAATTTAAATATATCCTCGTAATTTTTTCAATTAATCCTTTGATTCAGTTATGTTTTCTTTGCAAAAAGTGCTTATTGAAGAAATATGTGTTTGACAATATTTACATCTGTATACTGTATTAATATATTTAAAATTTTCCAGCGTGCAATTATTTATATACATTTTTTTATGTAATACTTAGTCTTAGTAACAAATAACAATAATTCAACTTATTACTATAATTTTTCACCAAGTGATCAATGAAAAACAAAAAAGAATTAATAGATACCTTCCGATATAAGTCTTTCGCGTATCTCCCAGGCGAAGATAGTTGGGTTTTCTCTCTTGTATTGTTCTATCTTAGATACTACAGCGGGTGTGGCCACTTTTGGCTTACTCCCGCCAATCAGGCCCGGTGGTCGTAAAGTACCTGCCAATGAAAATACACAAATGAACACATAAGGCAAAATTATTCTCAAAAGTTCAATGATATAACAGAAAAAAAATACGTTAAAGCATAGACACTCAAACAAACTCTTTGTTATAAAAAAAAAACATACAATATAAATTCTATTTTCAAATCGACTGCCCAAAAAATAAAGATAACAAACAATTTGTAATTTTATTGGTACGTGCACCTGCAAATCGTTAAATAGAATCGAAATGAAATCGTGGTCTCCAATAAAATACCAATGAAGTCGCCACGATACCGAGTGATGCAGTTTCATTGAAGATAAACGTGAATAAACGCGAATCGCTCGTTTCGGACCTTGCCTTTCATTGTTAACATTGTAAATGTTATTTTGTTAAATGAACCTTAATTTATTAAAATAAGATCGATGTTACAATGAAACTTAGTAACCGTACATCGGGAATTACATGTCCAAAAATGATAATCGCACATATTATTTCGAATAACAATGAAACCTTCAAATTAGTAATAATTACAGAATCGTTCACGACATAAAATGTACGCGCGAGATGTGAATTCCAAATTAGATAATATAATTACAATAATTTCGTTATGTTATATTAATTAAAGTAAGGTATTGCTTAAATAGCTTCAGTATGATTCTTAAAAAGAGCCGAAAAGAATAATTTTGTTTTTTACTTGACAAATAATTTTCTCTCTATATAATTAAGAAAATGAGGTGACATCTAATATCTAAAACTATTGTAACGTTAAAAAAATGTCATACAAGTCTTTATATATTATTGAAAATTTTTGAAAAACTTGCTTTTTATCAACACGAAATTTAAATGATAGCATTAGTTAGAAGGTATTGATCTGGTATAATTTCTTATGCCAAAAATAACATGTTTTTGTATCTTGTTTAGATCTAATGATTTATTTCCAGTCAGTAGTTCCTTTGAATTTGTTTACTACTGGTACAAATATAGAACTGAATTTGACGACGTTTATGTCTTTTATAGAGACAAACATTTTGTAAAAAAACTCTTGTAAAATCAAGATTGTTATTTTAGTTTCATACAAATATAACTTAAAAAATAAATCAAACCTATGTGTTGTGTATGAATGTGTATATAAAGTTAGATAAAAAACATATTTTTGCAAAAAAATGATTGCTTAAACAATTAATGTGCTTAAATAATTATCCTACAGATACTATAACTAGAACTCGATAATTATGTAATTATGAGGTACTGTCAGTAAAATTTTAATAAAAACAATTGAAATTGGCAACTATTATTTGCTCTGCTGAGAATTTTTAAATTGCCTTCACTTCAACGAGAACAAACAAATACCTTACAGAATGAAATTCAAAACGTCCGATTGTTGAGCTCATTCAAAATTCACAATGCATCGATTGGTTCATGAACTCGAGAAATATTAGTAAAAAGTAATGGATTCTGCAATGCCTAAATCAGTTAGATAAGTGATGAGCGCATACTCGAAGACAATTACGTAAAAACGCATCTGACGCGGGCATTCCGCCAGCCGGCGCTCGGACGGCGTTTTTACCGCGCGCTGACGACCGTCCTCCATACCGATAACACGCTGAATAATTCATCACATTATATTCACATTTTTATCAACGCCATTCACGATAAATTCATACGGGTCTTTATGTCTTGATAAAACTAAAGCTCAGCTCCGAAAATGGTGCAGACGTACAAAAAGTTATGCTTCAAGTTTACACGTCCGTTCCTACTCAGAGCCATAATAGGATCGTGTCATTATAATATTTCCCTCTGTATTTGAACAAAATGTTAATTTTCAAAAAGTATTATTTTATATGTAAGTATTTTAAAGTACTTGGCTGCTGTGGCTATTAAGTGAGATCGCGTGATTGCACGTTTTAGCTTAATTATTTCACTGTAAATCTGAAACGTAACAATATTCATAACTCAATTTATATGTTAATATTTTTGATATTAGCAGAATATAAAAAAAAAATAAAACAATAAAAGTCTGTTTACAAACCTATTAATTGAATACTAACACACTTTTTGCTATTGTCAAACGGATGAAAAAAAAAACCATCTCGAAAATAGTCAAACTATTTTAGCATAAAGAAGATAATTACGAACGATTTTACGGTGTATGTCACCGTTACTGGCTGCCGCTATTTACGTGCGTGCTCGAAAATTCGCCTTTCACTGTACACTATGTTTTGCAGTACGATCTAAAATCGTTGCTATAAACGAGCTCTAGTATTGATTGATAGGTAAATTGCGAGAAGCCGGCACACTGATCATTTTACAATAATTAAATCGGCATGGAAGGTAATCGCATGACCGCCGCCAATTACTCGCTATTGCCTAGGCAAAGGCGGATCGTGTGAGGTACCAATGAAATTGTACATAAATGTCTATTATTTGAGTGAAACGCAAGCGCGTGCTCCCGGGCGTGCACTTGCTTCAGACTTAAGCTGTGTGCATACTTAAATATAAATGATTACATAAATACATTGTAATATTGGCCAATCATTGTGCTGTTTCCATGGGAATTTAAGGTCAAAAAGATTATACACAATACTTAAAAACGCGGGTATCAAAGTTACGACTCGATTCATCTACGTTTTTCAACTACGTTCTTTACGTTATATACTACTTACGAAATTTTTGTCATATTTACTGACGGTTTCATTAATAGAGGTGAGAATAAAGGTAAATTTAGTTAATGAGAGATAAACAAAAGTTATAATCGGGCACGTTTATAAACTGCAACAACATAATGCATACAGAATGCATCAAATATTTAAAAAAAAACTGTCATTTTAATCTGTCTTTTGGAAGTATCAAATATAAAACATGTTATCGTGTTAGCAAAAAAAACTGTTATTGGGGGTGATTTACGCACAAAATAAGTAAGATGTGGAATTTGCGGACTTACGAAGATTTAGTAAAAACAACGGAAATCTAGATTCAGTATTATGCAAGTTAGACAGATGCTAAGATACATTGATGTTACCACAGTTAGTTAGTCAACATCTATAAAATTCACTGGTTTAACTATGTCGATGGAATCCCAGATATAGATAGAGGTTTGCTTTATTCCACTGAGAGAGGTAATAAACTGATGGGACCTTAAAATTAATTTCAGCTTTGAAGGCTTGGCACTTATCCACGTCCCACTTCCCTCTGTATTACTTTTTTTTATAAATAGTGAAAAAATCCTATACCTCTTCATAGACGCATAGAAAAGAATATGTTTTAACTATCTTATTTTTTTACACTGCACCCTAATATAGCCATATTGTGTGCATACCCTTAATTTGTAAATTTGTAAAGGTTTACAAGACCGTAGTACTATGTTTTCATATAATGGGATGACAACTATACAAGTATTGTATTGTAATGTAAACACTACTAAGTTTTGGAAATATTGCGTTCCTTACCATTAATTATATACAAGTGTTTTTTGTAACCTATTGACAATGGAATAAAATAAGATAAAGATGTCTGTAAACACATTGGTATTTATTATCCCTGTTGTTACTCGTGCGTGACTGCATGAATTCGTAATTTCTATATGAATTTTGAAAATATTCTAATACGAATTCTTTTGTTACGTAAAGTGTACTACATTGTGCTTTCAAATATTACAATTCTTCGGCCTTAATCTTTACTCGGAAGTATTTCGAATTGTCCGTTTTGTTTGTTAATTAAACATTGTTGTTTGATCCGACCGGGAAACGAACGTAGGAACCTCAGTAAAATTCAAGTTTTTAATTTCACTTAGTTAGTTACTTAGTACGCACCGTTCTCATACAAATGATTAACTGTGCCTATCCAATGGCAAATGTAGTTTTGTAAACTCATAATTGAGTATAGAAGTGTACTCGATTCACACAAGTCTATTAATCAGCCTCGTAAACGGGGAAGTGGAAATAAAGGGCATAACGCGTCCACGGCATCGTTTAATATATTTCCACACAACAATCATTTAGGGACGCTTTAAGTCATTACACGGTGAGTCTTCAAACAAGGACAAGATCTTTGTAAACGACGTGGAAAGGCCCAGATTCAGTTAATTAAATTTGTATTAAAAGTTCTTTATATTAGCTGGCGCTAACTATACCCAAGTTTCACCTCGTCATCCACCTAATAGATCAAAATCTGTAGCGGCGGAGTGGCTTTGGATAGGCCTGATTTATTGGAGTTAATGCAACGCGTGTGCTAACGATCGGTGAATCAGTGATTGATAGATGTGTATCTAAAAAATTGGTTCGCGCTCGCTCCTTCAGAAGCAATTTATAAATATTTTTTGAATGCCATCGTTTTAGGTTAGTAGATCATTATAACAGCATTATACTTAAATTTATTTTAGTTTATTATAAACAGCAATAAATTATATTGAAAACATTTTTTATTATTTTATTATATTACAAACTTTTTCGATAGCGCGAAAGTAACTATCAATACAATCTAGTATCAAATTTTGTAGTAGGCGTATTGATTTTGATAAGTTTGTTATCAATAAAAATACTTTTTAGCGCATTTTACATTTCAATTAATATGAAAGTTCGCTTTGAGGTTCTTCGTTATCATATTTCGCTTCTTGTATTGATGATGACATATTTAATGTCAATTTAACGATAACCTGACAGTTCATTCGACGAGAAACTACATACTTTCTCAAAGCGTCAAGTTGCATCAGGTTATGTCACATTTTTTTAAATTTCTTCTTTCTTAAATGAATCGTTTTTGACTTATCACCCGCGTTGCGCATTCTTTCTTGTACAGATAATTTTAATGTACGTTAAACATATTAATATATTCATTATATCTATCATACAGTTTTCTGTTTTCTGAACTTAATACGTTTTAATGATATAGCTTACTTGTTGTTGACATGAACTGTCTTTTTCTTTTTACTTTTTCTCTCTCGTGAAAGGAGTTGAGTTAGCCCCGAACTTAAGGAATATGATTATTAAAATATATATTATTATATACATAAAAATATATATATATATTAATTTATCATCGATTTATAAATACTTAGTAGTAAATGTGTAAGTTCAATAACATAAGAACTCTTTGACTTGACTTACACTCTTGGTTAAAGGTCTAATCAGTAATTTTCTTATCAATGACGATATATTATATCACTTACAATCTAAAACTAACTTATCGACAACTACGAAAGTAATAAAAAATTCAAATTGATCTACGTGAATTGGAGCATAAAAAGAAAAGGCATCATTCTTGACTAAGAATGTCAACTCGGGTAATTCAATTTTGATTATAGTACCAAAGCTTAAATATAGGCCCATTAACCGTACCGGTGTTCCGCAGACAATCTTCCTGAGTAGGTATCATTAGCTACCAACAAAATTTAAGTAATATCGAAATAAAATGAGCGGTTTAATATGAAATTACTCGCTTAATGATTTCGGCAGTTTTGTGGACAATACCTTATTTTGTACGTAAACCTAGATTGTTATAACAATCAAATTCGTATAATGACATGTTACAGAAAGTACAAGGCTGCGTTGAAACATTTTCAACTAGAGTTTTGTTTCTTAATTTATCGTATACGTTAGACTACCACAGATTGTCACCTTAATTAGTTTTGAATTTCATTTTCAACATGAAAATCGATCGATTTAAAGCTTAAAATCGATCGCAGAAAATTTCACTTTGTATTATTAAACGTGTATTTATGACAGCTGGCCGTTACGTTTATGCAAAAAAAATAGATTTCTAAATAAAATTTAAAAAATAAATAAAAGCTTATCTCATAATTATATTCTCTAACAAAATAAAAAATAATATTAACTAAGTTTTTACTTTCTAAAAATTATCCGTTTCTTATGAGAATATATAAATATTAAAACACCATTTTCAAAACTTTCTCTTTAAAAAATCTAAGTGTTCTTTAATTATATCATTGCGTAGCCATCGCGAAGTCTAGTCAGTAGAAGTCATAAAGTAATTTATCCATCACTATCCTGTAACTAACAATTTAACAGTCAAAGTTGCCCATGCATCGTGCATGCATAAATAACTATTTATGCGTGCCCATTTCCATGCAGTCAGCTTGTAAATTGTTTAGGTTAGATAATAACATTTGAGCTAAAGTTCTGCCTATGTTAAATACGTAAGCGCCGGGACATGACGGCCCTCGGCGTATCGCGAGGCTTCCGTGGGAACACAACACGTGACGTTACGAAATCACCACAGGCCAAAATTGATTGACACAATACTTATGCTATATGCAATGCAACCGCTAGAAATTGCATAGTACAATACACTATTATACAGAATATATATATTTTTTTGTAATGAAAGAAAATATGGTAAACTTTTGGTTTTCTTAGATTGTCATTCGTTTAAATATCAAAAGGCTATTAATATACTTTATCATTCTATGACCTTTACTTTATACATGTCTTATTACTGAAAATTTGTCGGATACGAATGTATCCCAGAGTGATTGATAATAACAAAATAAGTATTTATACCACTTTTAATACAATACCTTAAATATCTATGTAAAATTACTTATAATAATATCGTTTCCCGGTAATAAATAATTGAATTTACCTAACATACAATAACATTTAATTATAAAGTGAATTAATAAAACATTATGTAAGTGTGGATATATCAGTTAATTGCATTATTCACTAAACATTATTATGAATTCAAGATATGAGATAATCGGCACCGAATATTAAAGACGGAAAACGTTCAATAAAAAATAAAGATCAAACTGCGTAAAATTATATAGGATACGAACTGAACGGTTCAGTGCTTTCGAAATCGCCCGTTCACGACTCCTGAGCAAACACAAAGTAAGCTTGTGTCCTAATGATACCTCCGCCATAGATCTGATACTTAAAAATAACTGAACACACAAGTGTTTGAGGCAATGTCGTATTCACCTCACGCTTCGTTTAAACTGAGTCGTATTATTAAAACTGGCTAATTGAACCTAGGCAGCTTATGTTACGAAACGATCACATGGTCTACGCCAATCGCTAATTGTGTATTTGTTTTTACGAAATTTTCTGTAATACATGAAAGCGGAAATGCAACCCCGAGCCTAATTGTCGTATTTTAAAATCTATTGTGATCCCTTTCAATTAGACATTTGAAATATATTCATAAACTTCACACTACAACTGTTTGACATATGATAGCGATTGCAAGCATGACTTTTTTTTAATATATTGAATAAACTACACCGATAATTGAACGTTAATTGGAATTGTCTAAGTAAAGCGAAAAATGCTTGAAAGCCATCTAGAATGTCTAATGAAAGAGCTGAATGCAATCTTTCGACGGGTTTAACTAAGTTTTTATTATGTTTCTTAATTATTCGAATTATCCTTCGTTATATGACATTGACTTCGATTGTGACATTGAAAGTGACATTATTCTATAAATCGTTATACCTTCGAAAGGGATTGCAATAGACTTTAAAATAACACAGCAGACCGCTTCCAAAGAAAGAAAACTAAGAAACGGATGAAATTAATCAATCGCAATCTTCGACGGCATTGTTTTATTTTATCATAAGGTCCAATTAAATGATTGCTCGTATTAAAATACAACCATGATAATTGTAAAGGAAGCAATCAAATATAGGGTTGTGGTCGTGAAAAATCACCGATGGTCAGATAGTTCCCACATCAGCATCGCATTGGGAACGAATGCTCGCGGGGCCGAAGATCGGTCCGCAGTGCGGTGGCTTATAATTAACACGCTGCAAGTTTTATGAATCGATTATGATCTAAGCTTTCATCAATAGCTGCTTTCATCGCGGCAGGCTTCGGAGATGTTTTATCTTTGATTAATAGCAATTGAGATTTTTGCTCAGACTGTGTTATTAGTCCGGAGTTAAAGCACTGAACGGTGCGGAGCGGAGTCGCTTTCGACAAATTACCGAGTTGTCAATGTGTGCTTTAAAGTAATTTATAATCCTGATAACCTCACTCACTTATACGAGTGAAGAGCGCTCTTGATTTTATTGAATCTTTTACAGCCACGCTCGCGAGAGTAATCATAAAACAACATCGCCTTCATTAATCTGCAACACAACTTTGAACTTTTTCTCACTAAATATAAAGTAATAAATAAATAATTTACAATGGTTAATTTATTAGATACAGAGCCATAAAAATGCATTGATTTTAAGAGCCATCAGGTAATATGCATAGGTTTAAAACGTATTGATCAATCTAGTGGCGAAGTAATTATCGCAAATAACTTAGTTCCAGGCTATAACAGCTAGGGGGCAATTCTTTAAAGAGCGGTTGTATAAATCAATACAACACTGAAGAGTGCTGGCGAGCGAACTCTCTATAAATAATACATGCACTAATTATAGTGGAAACGATACCCAGTAGGTAGACGGTCCCTTATCAATTATCTCCCTTCGAGCAATTCCAACATATGTGTTTGTTGTTGTTACGTATAAAATGTATCGAATTTTATAAAATAATCCAGTATTACTGATTGCTTGTATTTTCACGTGCTCTACTCTTTAACTTTAAACGGTTTAACGCTCGTTTATATTTGTTTTCATAGCGTTTCGGGCCTTTTACAGATTCCGTGGTCACTTAAGACTAAGGTGTCGATTATCTTTTCTTAATTATGACCTTCAAAAGAATACTATTGGACACAATCACAAAACAAAAATTTTATATTCTATGAAAACGTTTACATTTAATAAATTATTATAAATAATAAATTTGACTTATTTAATAAATTGTTCGTTTATTTAACCCTGACTACCGTAAACTGCCACCAATTCCTAATTTAAAAGGTTACATGGAACCTGTAAAGGATCTGAAACGTCATGAAAGCAAGTATAAACGTTCTGAAACCGCTTAAGGTTGTTTCATTAAAATACCTATTTCTGCATTTTTTCTCTAAATTGTCATCCTTATAATCAATTATAACAATACGTTATTTCTTAAATAGGTTAAAATACATTAGGTTGTGATATATCGGTATTTAAAATTAACTAAGCACTTTATTTCTGTTTCTTTACTTTTTTCTGTAACAAGTTATTTGAAAAATGAGTTCTAGGATTAATATGCATGCATTGACTTTTACATTTTATTTATAGTAGGTGTAATGTAAAAATAAAAGCAGCTTGCTTACCAAGCAGTTTCGTAACAGCACCTTGCTGAGACAACACGTGATGGGCGATATCGTAGTGCCTCAAACCAAATCTTGACAACTCCAGCAACCTCTGCTGGGATAGTAGAGATGTGAGAGGGTGTGATGCGGCGCCCGGATAAATAGGAGTTGAACCTCCGCCGGTAGCTCCACTCGCTGACGATGACGGAGACACAGGAACTAAAACAAAAAAGGATTGTAAAATATAAAGTCATCTAATTGACACTCACTGTTTATTAAACACTGTTTACTAAAAAAAATAAACAAAATACGTTCAAATTACAGTCTTATATTAATTCTGGTCAGCCGATCGTAGAGTTGCAACTGAAACTCTACTTAGTTTATAAGCACAAAAAAATTGAAAAATAGTTCATTGTATTAAACTGAACTATGTCATTACTACCTTTCATAAATATGTATACAGCTATGGTCATTGGGATATTCCAGCAATTTTTTATTGTATATACCATAATTCTAACTTTGGTCTAAAATTGAGTTAATATTATAGACCTGTAGCATGCAGCATGTAGATAATTGTATGTATAAAAAGAAAAATTAAAATCGTTTTGTTATTCGTGCAATATTAAGCTTTCAAATCATAAACATTTCTGTGTATCTCAAAAACAAAATAAATTCCACGTCAAGTCAAGCAACAAATTGCTATTTGTCATCGGAAATGATTAGCTATAGTAATATCGATATAACATGAAATTTAAGAGCAGGTATAAAATAGTTAATAAAGGAAGCAATTAATGAATCAAACCATATATTTTCATTGATTAAATTAACTGTTTGGAATACATTGAATATACAAGTCACCGTTATCAGAATTAAACGGCTATTTTATGAGAGTCTGAGATTTGAAACTAATTTGTGATACACATATCACTATAAAGCAAAGCAATATTAATTTTCTGATCTATTATTTCTATCAAGTGTCAAAAAAATTAACGCCTTAAGCATTTATATCGTTTGTTTAAGTTTTTTCTACTAAATGGAGTGGAGAATAGATACAAGTTTTAAATTTAGACTTGGATGTCAAGTAAAAACAAGAAAGTGTTTATTAATTTCTTGTTTTTTAATGTTAAGATATAACACATTCGAACTGTGAATCTTTTTTCGAGGCAAGGTAACTTTACAATTATTGTTTATTATAATAAAATTCACTTTAATACTTTCACTCTTATGTTTTTATGATGATTTGATTATATTTTGTTATTGCATATTTTAAATTTCAATTTTTTTATATTATCGATAGTTATGATTGTGTTTATGAGTGTTAGTGCTTAAAATAAATGACTTCTTATTATAAGTATTATAAATAGATTTAAGAAAATCGAATTTGGACATGAGGTGAGTATATCTTTGTCCGTATATCTAAACGAATAACTGAACTGAATTGAAAAGAATTCGGAACTGCTTTCGAGCATTTATGAACAGAGTATCTGGCTATTGACTATCTACGTTAATAATCTGAGAATTTAAAATGTTATTTCTGATTATAAATTCATAATTTAATATTTTTATTAGCGTTCTAATAAGCGCGCGACACGTCAACATCAAAAACACCTACATATACCGTTTAAAACGAGAAATGAAAATATATATGTTTATATCAAACGTGCTCATAAAATGTTGAATTATTTTATTCATCGGGGTCGCGCTCTCATAAAATCAAAGAGCCTAAATTAAGTCATCAATGAGCCAACGAAAAAATTACAGCAGTCATTTGTCGCGGGTGCGGCCTCGTTGAAATAGCATTAACGTTTTTTTTACTTTGTTTTCATAATGAGAACGCCTCTGGCGAAACATTCTGTGATTCCGAGTACCTAAGTGAGGGCTGGGTCAATCGCTGCTCACTCATTAGCCGCATATGTCATTACCCTGCTACAAAGGGCTTACCATAATCCAGTCTATAATATAATTACAAATACGTTACCTTTTGATATTTGATATTTATTTCCTATATCATGCCTGTGTAGAGATAATAGGGCGAAATGAAAATGGCCTGTAATATTTTGTTTTGCAAACATACAATTTGAATGATGTATGATAAGCGTTCTTTGTATTTATACTCTGTTAATATAAATTATTCACTGTGTAATGATAAGACAATTTGTTAGCTTAAAAAAAGTAATATTTTTATGTCTTAGAATAATACTAGGTGGTTTCCTCATTTGTACCAGTAAAATACTTTCTTGAAATAAAGTCATAACACATCACCATACAAATTAAGCTATAAACTTAATTTTCTTTAATTTGTTTATCGAGTTAAGCATCGAAATTAATGCATCGCATAACTTTACACTTTTTATTAGCGAGTCAATAAGGCGATTTCGTCATCGACAGCATTATAAAGCCCAAAACATTGTTGTAAGCAAATATGAATCATAAAGTTGTAGAATAAGATACAATTTTCAGAATGAACATCGCAGCGATCGAACTGTCAGGACTGGACTTCGACGTATAATTTCTCGTGTAATCGCTTTCATAATGGGAGAAAAAAAAGTGATATTATCTGCCCACGGTCAATAAATTAACACCGTTTAGAGCGAAAATGTAGATTTTTAGTAAGGCTACTATTATAAATAAATTGGAATCGAACGGATCGAAGTTCCAAGGGGACGTTCGTGAGACGTGAGTGCGTGTGTGTGTTGTTTTTATTTGGGTGCGTGAGCAATGAGGCCTTATTAAAATATTTCGAGTGGAAACTGGAAGGACCACTTAGTGGTGCGCGGGAGTTTCACGCCTGAGCTGATACAACATTAAAACGACAAGATAGCTTATTTGTGCTGAGCTGGAGATTAGTGGCAATAAATCACTGATTAGAATGTATTGACTGGCGTTGACTCTGCGGCGCGTTCGTCTTTCTTATTTATAGAGCAATGGTTTGTGTATTTTATAGTTTTATTTCAGTTATTTGTTAAAGTTTAATAGCACGAACTGGACAGTTAGCTCGGTTTATTAGTTCGACATCTAACTTTAAATGTTATTTCGCTTATCTTTTTACAGTTTCGAACTGTATAAGGCGATACCAATAACAGTTGCCCCTCTAACGAGTTCAGATGGTCAATTAACATGTTCGTGTTTGAATAATGTCATGTGTTAAGATAATATTTATGAGTTGAGATATGGATTTGTTTAATGGTGTAACATATTAAACTACTAAATCGACACTAAGTTGAACATATTTATGATTTGTTAATTTTGTATGAACTGAAAGTCGGGTCACTTAAACGACACACCTGCGACGGCGCGTTCAACGCGGTCGCTTAAACATGTAAAGTGATGTGAAGGGAAGCTCGCACAAACATCGAGATCATCCGAATGTGAAACAGTTTAATGCAAAATATATTGTTCCTCTACGGGAGCCGGCGCCATTAATGTCATCATACACCGGAAAATTACCAGGCTTCGTGTAAATTTCAATGTAAACTCGAATGTGCAGAGAGAGTCCGGCTATAGTTCTTTGGGAACGATTTGAACGCACTTATTATGTTTATCAGTTTGGTCGAATACCGTATTTACTCGCTTCGGCGTCGAAATTAAAACATTGGTAGGTTTTATTAAATTGTGTGTAAAATTACTTCAAGCTCCACTAACACTGAACTTGTAATGGATTTTCCTTATAATAAGCTGAGCAATCGTAAAAGATTGCTTTTTACGATAGCGAAAAATTTGTAAAATGTGAATTTTTAATACTCAAAAGTGATCTATGGTAAAAGGTAAAGTTTCTGACTTTTTTGTTTGTTATAATCTTAAAATCTACTGATCCGAACATGAAAATTCTTTTACCTTAGGGAAGCTACATCATATGAGCGATATAAGCTATTATTTACGTGGGCAAAATCGCACAGTTAAATATAAAAGGAAAATTGACTACAAAAATGTAAACGTATCTATAGTGCATGCGTATAAAATATGAGTAAGTAAATTAGCTTAAGTCTCACATAGTAAAATCTGAAGAATACACGGTGTTTACTCATACCAACTGCTAAAAAACTTTATCGTTATAACTAAAAAGTTTTACTATCGTAATTTCCAGCTTTTAGGGAAAACGTATATTATGTTATCTAAGTAGCGGATTTGCTAGGATGGATATAAAACGATAGAGTTAGGTATTTTGTTTTGACATCTTTTACTTTCTTTCATCTTTATTTTCTTTTCCCTCTTTTGCTGCTTCGGTCCAAATGTTTAAGTGGAGTAGAGAATGTATTTGTAATTTTTAGGATAACTATTATTCTGTGCCCATGTGGAGCGGAGTATGTGCATTTCCTGAAAATGTGAGCTCACTGTAGATATACTGTACTGTATAATTGGGAGACCCAGACCTAAAATATCGTCCGTACTTGACTTCCGCATTATTTAGCTCAGAACTTTTGTCAAAACGCTAATATTTTACAAATTATAAGCGGTGTCTCAACTATACTAAGTCTCCCCCATATGACTAGAGACGGTGAGTGAGATCAATAATTAATTCACAGGTGTTGTGTGTGCTTCTATGATAAATTTGTAAGTAAAAGTCGAAAATCAAATTAAAGTAAACTACAATTAAAAATCTTTTATCAAGAAAGCTCAGATTAATCGGATTATATAACAAATGAAAATGGTTTATAATACTTAGTTGTTTCTGTCGCTTGGATTCTATTATATATAATTTCACTCAAAAATCACTCTCAGAAATAAGAAACTCGGTGAAGTAGTGGATAAGCGCTGCGGACTGCAATCGTTGTTGTTAACGATTTTCGCAAAAGTCAGGATGGGTGATCAAAACACTATCTCGATGTACTCCATATCTCGTAAGGCACATTAAGCTGTTGGTACCATATGCATTTGCTTTCGTTAACACCTTAACACTACAATTATTTAATATTACTAAGAAGTGTTGATTCATGTTTCACCTGTCCTTTTCATATCATAAGGCAAGATAATCGTTTCTTAATTATTTTATTTCAATTTCATAAAGTATCCATCTGTCAATGATCCATGAAAAATTGCCATCCGTCGCATTGAACGTGACCTCAACGCAACGTACAAAATCCATAAACACGTCAATGCTTAAATAAAACAACAATAACTGACAATCAGCTTGTGTCCATTTGGACATAAAAACATTAAAGTTCAAATTTAGAGCATCAATGCATGCCAATATACGGCAGAATGTTTGATTAATTACAGGATAAAAAAAAATCCATTGCCTCATATAACTTTTGGAACTTGAATATTGAGAGTATGGACATAAATAATAGAAATATAATATTGTTATTCAAAAATTTTTTTCTAATTAACCAAGTAATAATGAATGCACCCAATTGTGACAATTTGAATTTTAATCTGTGGAGACTTAGCTTACTTATCTTTTGTTTGCTTAATAAGTTTTATGATTTCATACTTACTCATTTTTAGCATTCCAGCAAATAAATAAAGAAGAAAACAAAAATAAGAGACACAAAGTATTGCTTAAATTAATTTTATGTAATTATCTCATTTAACATCATTTGTGTGACTTTATAACGTTATAATTACTAACGTACAAATACTAATTTATTTAAATAACTGATTTGGAAAATTAAATAATAGAAATATGCAATTTAGTCTTTTGGATGTAGCTATTTTATATTTCCCTCGTATTCTGATGAAAATCTTAAATAGCATTTTAAATTATTCATAGAAATATAAATTTAATATAGAATTTTTATTTAACTTGACAGTATCCATAAAATACTATAACTTCGCTGATTTGAATAATGTGTAACGAAAATAAAACCACTATATAAACATAGCAAAAAATCAAATAAAAAACGGATGCTTTTCACAATGGCTGCAGTGCGACATCGGTGAGTGACATGGACGTGATTAAGGCGGTTGTACACGAATACATTTGCGTCCTTGAACTTCGTTTATCCGCACGGTTGCATATTCAATGTAGACCATGGAGATTTAATAGTCCGCGACTTCCAGAGGAAGTGAGCTTTTAGTAAAAAACCGGCCACGTACGAGACGTTGATATAGCTTATAGTATTGAATTGAACAATTATGGAACTGTCCAGTTATATCTTCTAAATACCTACGAGTTTTAAGCAAATTAATATTATGGGTGTTAGATAGAATTTGTTTCAGTATTCGCGATCTGTCTGATATATAAAAAAGTAAACTTATCACTCAAAAAACAGCCTAAGGGCGCATTTATAATAAGAAGAAGTATTTTCTAGGTGCGATCACCGCACTGTTTCCATCATAAATATATGGTTTCCACAACAGCCGTCTAGTGCGGCACGTTAAGACAAAATGAAAATTTTGATATATGACGGGCCAGATTCCGATCCGGTAATCGAGAAGAATTAAAATTTACCTAGTCTATAGATTTGAAATTTAATATGTGCAAAAAAGATATTTTTGCTTTAAATAGACACAAATGCGTGATTTATGCGCTAGTCTGAAGCAAACATGCAGAATGTAATACTTAAAATTATGCACATGATATATATTTATATATTAATTTGATATAATAGCTGGGTGGCGTAGTGGATAAGCGCCGCGGCCCGCGATTGTAGTCGTTAAACAACTTTCGCAAGGGTCGGTCACGGGATGGGTGACCAAAAAATTATTATCTCGAGCTACTCCGTGCTTCGGAAGGCACGTTAAGCCGTTGGTCCCGGCTGCATTTGCAGTCGTTAATACCCTCCAATCCGCATTGGGCCAGCGTGGAGGGTCATGGCCCATCCTCCTTAACCATCCATAAGGAAGGCCTGAGCCCCTGCAGTGGGGACGTAAAAGGGCTGGTGATGATATTAATTTTTAACTACATTGAAAACTGTATTATTTATATTTTATATAATATGGTGAATATTAAATACAGTCGTATATTAACGATGCAGTACGATACCATTTAAGTTTGTGTGAAAGAACCCTAACAAATCAAATGGGTCTGCCTACCGCGCTGCAGTTTTTGCATACTGCTCGGTATGGTAATGATTTCGTCATTACATCGATTACCGTACATGTTTTAAACACTTTTGTGTACCTTCGCTGTAGCGTACCTTCAAGGGTTGTATTCGGTTGATTATTTTTGATTGACAATAGAATTTATTTTTGAAGCTTTTCTTATTAAAACAAATGTATAAAGACACAATATGTTAATATCACACAACATAAACACAACTTTTGTAGACTCAAAAGAATTTATATTCATATATATGATTTCACATATTCTGTTTTAATTTAATGTGAAATAATGGTAAGCAAATATGCGAATGCCGAAGTTTATAGTATGATTGGTGTAGTGAAGACTGTTGACGGCGAAGTTCAGTTGTTGATGTTGTTGCTGTCGGTTAGCGAAACAGCAGAGTTAGGTTCAAGTGGAAGGTAGTCCGCAGGTTAGTCCTGTGCGGTGGCGTCGGTTGCTAACGTCGGGGTCTCGGGATGATAAGTAGGTAATCAGCCTTCAGCCCAAGTTGAGCAGCAGCTCGGACCTCCTGGTGTCATAGCCGAAGAAAAAGAGGTTCCAGTATCAAGTGGTGAAAAAGAGTAAGTCGCGGACGCATTAGAAAAACATGAAAATTTACGCGCTGATAAAAAAACTTGGCGAAGAAGCTAGATAGTAACTTTAATATGTTTGAAGTAAAAAAATACTTACCTAATACTACTTACGAATAAACGTAAAACGTCCACTTATTTGAAATTGATTAAAAAAAATAATTACTTTTCGCTTAAGTCAAAATTATTATAATTCACTCTACGAAAACGGCACAAAACATTAATTTTACTGTACCAATTGTGCATTTCAAAGACACTAATTTGTGCATTCGCGTCGCTTCGATCATCAATTTCATTTCAATTTTGTGGAAAAAGAACTTTTTGTTCACATAAAGAGGTCTTTGTCGTTTTTTGTGAGTAGTGCGCACTATAAAGTAGTTACGCACGTACAAGACTGATTCTACACGTACTCATCTAGTAGGAGACTTATTGGATGCAAACTAGGTTATTTTAGTTGGGTACGTATGATCATAATTATTATTTAAAATAATATCTAGTTATATTAATTTATCAATGTTATTCTATAGTTACGTGATCCAAATTTATAACTTTATTTTTCATAATGACGTAAATATTGATTGTATTATGTATGAATTTCAGACAATTTCGGACTTAGTTTATTTTTGTAAGTCAAACTGCTATTCAATGCAATTTTCGATTTTATTTTTTTAATCAATGAAATTGTTACATTACAACTTCATTATAACATTGGTTTTTTCAAGTTCCCAATTAGAAAGTATGTACTCTTGCCCGACCGAAGAACTATAAAATTAAACGCTAACTTAAAATATTGACTAATGATTTAACTCACTATTTGGTACTGTTTAAATAATAATAATAATAAAAAATAACAAATCAAGTAATACAAAATAAAACCAAATACAGTTGCAACAGCAAAGTATCATAAAAAAAAGTACATAGAGACAAACAAAATGCTCAAAACACAAGTGACAACCAGAAAGCGAGAAGTGTAAAAAGAAAATAGAAGAGCAGGCTAAACGTTAGAGAGGAAATGGGATTTTAATTGATATTTGAAGGAGTTTAACGAATTCGCCCGTCTGATAGATTCAGGTAGAGAGTTCCACAGTTTTATAGCGTGTACTGTAAAGGATTGACTATTGAATTTAGTGAGATTGGGAGGAATGAACAATCGTAAGTTATTAGAAGAGCGAAGCGAGAGATCATGCGTAGATGTGAGAAATTTAAAGCGTGATTTGAGATAAGGGGGCAACATGGGATTGAACAGTATAGAGTAGAGAAGCGAGAGCATATGCATATCCCTACGACGACGAATGGGGAGCCACTGAAGTGCTGAGCTGACTGTGACTTTTCACAGATCGTTCAAGCTCCGCCTGTCTTATATAGAATTTTCATGAATTATTTATCACTTTTATCAGGCACTCTTAAACTCTGATGCTTTATTAAAAAAAAATTTTTTTTGTTATTCATATATGTATATTATTTACGTTAAATTAAATTTCATCCTGACGCAAAGCAAAACATCACTGGTTGTACTCGCAAATCGCCTCTGCGCCTAACTTTGTGTCCTTTAAACTGGTCATCCTTATTGGAATACCAATAACTAGACAAATTCAAGAATGCAACCCTACTCGAATACTGACAATTGAAAGAACAAAATTAATTAAACACCCGATTCAAGGACTCGATGAAAGGTCGTGCGCAGGAGTTAAAGCATAACGCGCGATCATAATTCACTTAGCAATACAATACGCGATGTCCTCAACAAAATTGATTACTATAATTATCTCTATTCCATTGAATACGCATTGTGACAGAAAAACTGAAATAATTACGATGGTATGCAATGTTCGCCTCTCGCATTTGTATTCGAGACTTGCGTCACATAGTCGGCAAGTGTGAACAAGTGCCTCAAAACACTTACATCTATAGTTTATACGGCTGTTTTACACGACTTTATGGCTCATTAATAAATTAATACTATTGTCTAGTAATTAAGGAGCATCGTGTCAGTATATAGAGCCACCTGATTATTATGCGTGGTCACCATTTAAATGTTAATTAGATTTATTAACACACCTGATCAAACTAGCGGCATATCTACTGTTATGAAGTTAATTCAATGAAAATTTATTAAATGTTTATTTTATTACTCAGCTGTGTTTGATACTTTATTAAGTACTTATTTTTTTGTCATGTGAATGATGTCATGATCGTTAACATAATAATATTTTGATATTTGTATAGTTTTAAATGCTTTTACATAATATTTATGTTAATGATGGTACATACTGTATCAAAATAAAATATTAAAAATTGCTATTCGTACTTAATACCAGCCACTTTAATTTAAAAGAACAATACCATAAAATGTGTGTTACCAACTTACTGACTGAGTTGCCGTTTATTAAAATTATCAAAATAAAAATAATATTAATCAAATGAATCGTTCGGTATTCAAAAATGGGTCGAACACACAGCTGTTTTAATAGCCTTTATATTGTTTGATATCGTTAATCAAAACGTTTCAAATATTAAACTGCTAATTTGAACAGGGTTGCAACGTACGCTAGGTAATGTAGAATAATTTACTCGCAGGGAAAAAGGTCGAATTCAAAACAGCCATTAATTATATCGATTTCAATAAAGCTCTTGACATTCCTTTTTTGAAAAACAATATGAAATAGGCATAGGATGATAAATATACAACTTTTTACAAGATGCCATTTAGCTATAGAGCTGATGAAGGATATTACAATAAGGTACGACTTTAGTTTATTACCGTAATGCTATCATGAGAACTGTACAAGCAACCCTATACCGGGCAAATATTGAGCAACATTCACCGGAAACGCTACTGGGCAATCTTGTGGCCGATCTACTGGCTAATTAGTGATCGTCGATACTATGCTGACTATGTGGTCGGTACTGGATGCGCTTTTCGCCCACTCATCCTAACAGCTGCCGTTACATGACAAATGACAGTCGTCGACTTCAAATAATTACCTTGAGTTTGTTCGGCTATGACAAGGTTGGTCTATCTTTCTTGATATAAACTCGCCAAGCTCTCCTGCTACTTTTTCTTTATTTATTTATTAAGAATATAAATATCATATTTGATCAATTTCGAATTCACAATGTTATATTGAAAAATATTATTTTTTTAATGAAAAATGCTTTAAAAACCACTTGGTTTCTTTCACCCTGATATGGGATTCGAACCCATGACCTTTCGCCCGGATTGCGAATTAAGAATGTAAATATCAATATTAACATGGGATAATCAATTCAAAGAAAAAAGTTAGTAGAATAAGAAATGGTACCATGCACACCGAAACAATACATGCTCTTATTTTTTTTGTAATTTGTTTTTGGTAGCATTACCTGATCATAAATGGATAATATTAAAAATTATCGAAGACAGATGTCTCATAGTACCCAAGCAGTGCTGGCCAGGCTAAAGATACATCTATATTAGACAGGAAGCGGCCAATGCAGTATTAAAAACTTAAAAATTATAAACTCGTTAAGTTTGAGACAGCCAAATATCTCGGCGCGGCATACTGAAAGAATAACTGAATAGTCCTTTTGCGACAGAATCAAACTCAATTTTGTTTTCGTCAATAGGTTGAAACAAATACTTTAGATAAAGACTACCCAAATGTTACACGCAAGCTCTCATGGTCTTCTCTGACGCTTACAAAAACTCATCAGGTACAGACGCTGATGTAATGTAACACCTCAATATACATATCACTTCTCTCTGTCCTTACAGTCTTTCAGGCTGCGTGTAATATCATGAGAGTCAGAAGCGCTCATTTTCTGTTAAAGTTCTAGAAAATAGACAGCAACAAAAAGAGTAAAAAGAAAAAGTATTAGTCAGTTTATAAAAAACTATTTGGCACTTACTTTCCCATCCTATGTCCGAAGAGGTCCTGAAGAGAGGGAATTAGGGGACCTTTATCTTGGTGACGAGGACGATCACTACAAAGAAGTTAAAAAGACTAAATATTTAATCCACTCTAATAGCAAATTTCTTGAGATATAATTTTGTTAAGTAGAGTCTTCTTGAGTATCATATATTACCTTAAACGTACTAGTAACACTGAATAGCATCGATAATATAAATATGTATTCGGTAGGTTAAAGAAACATACAATTGTGTGGAAAGTATGCAACTGACAAACTAGAACGTAGAGGTGCGGCCATAACAAAAGTAGGTTTTTAATCGATTCTCCCCCTCTAGCTGCCTAGTTAGTAAGATCCGTGAAACTATATCAGTAGTACTGGTAATGTAACTTTCTTTTCTTTCAATATTTCCACAAAATGTAATTGACCTAACCATAAATAAATTTAAAATTTATGTAAAGAATATACTTATGAGTAAAGGCTATTATAAAGTTGTTGATTATTTTAAGGACCGCAATGCATGGAATTAATAGCCTTCGCTTTGTTCTATAACGACTAATTATATGTACAACCTATGAC